CGGACCGGACRGGAAGCTGTATAAATTAAGGTTCAAATGAACGGCGGCCAACTGTGCACCGCAGCGGAACTGAACTGCATCTAGTGTAAATTAAACTGAAGCTCATATTTATTACTTTTTAAAAGCCATTTTCACATCAAAGTTGAGGCTGTTTAACGTCCAACACAGAAACAAATCTTTCTACGAGGCAGCTGATGGCCATTTTATGATTTGTTTTGTTTTGGCCCTAGGGCTTGATGCAAATCAGTAAATATTTCACCTGGGTTACCAAGCTTAAAGATTATTTTCTATTTCTAAAAAATGGTTTTAACTAATTAAATGAATAAGGCCCTTGAAGYGAAATAAAAATAAAACTTAATGTCTGCTGGTGTTGTACCGAAAAGAGCACCCCTGCTGTGAGAGGCATCCTTGCTATGGGAAACACATTGACAAAAAGGTGTAGCATAAAGTGTAATAACACTGTGCTGCCCACCAACGTGCCTGTGTTTTATTCTGTTTAATATGCTCAGAAGTAACTGAGGCCAATTATTTTAAAGAATGAAACATAGATGTAAAAAATGTCATTAAACAACCTCACATTTTCTGTTTATCAAGGCTGAATTAGTACAAAAACTGGTTATTTTTTTAGTTATGGCAACATGTGACAAAAAGAGACTTTATTAGGTTTCAACAAAATGCTTATCCAACCTAGATTACTGACCAATATTTGTAAATGTTATTAACAGGCAACAACGCTTTTGTGCCTGTGTTACAAATACGTCTGGCTGAATTTAAGTGGAACACTAAGAAAAAAATCTCTTGAAATAATCGACTTCTGTTGCAAGCACAAAGAAAAAAACATTTAAATAAAAATTAAGCCTGGATTTCTTTCATTATTCCTTTACAAATTTGTTCCCTTGACCAAAATACTTTGATTTTTCTTTATTCATTAAAAAAAAATTGGAATCCACTTTTATTTATACAGGTTTGGGTGGAACACTAAGAAAAAAATCTCTTGAAATAAT